CAGTCTAGGGCCTCTCTTACCTGAGAATGAGACATGGTAGTGCAGTCTACAACCTTTGAGAATGAGACATGGTATAGCAGTCTAGGGCCTCTCTTAATCTGTGAATAAGACATGGTAGTGCAGTCTACAACTTTTGAGAATGAGACATGTTATAGCAGTCTAGGGCCTCTCTTACCCTAAGAATGGGACATGATATAGCAGTCAAGGGCCTCTCTTACCCTGAGAATGGGACACGGTAGAGCAGTCTAGGGCCTTTTGTACCCTGAAAAAGAGACACGACAATGCTGTCTAGGGCCTTTCGTGTCCTAAAAAAGATACACTGCAGTGCTGTCTCAGGCCTCTCTTACCCTGAGAATGGGACATGGTAATGCAGTCTACAACTTCTGAGAATGAGACATGGTATAGCAGTCTAGGGCCTCTCTTACCCTAAGAATGGGACATGATATAGCAGTCAAGGGCCTCTCTTACCCTGAGAATGGGACACGGTAGAGCAGTCTAGGGCCTTTCGTACACTGAAAAAGAGACACAGCAGCGCAGTCTGGGGCCTCTCTTACCCCTAGAATGAGACATGGTAGTGCAGTCTAGGGCCTCTCTTACCCTGAGAATGAGACATGGTAGTGCAGTCTACAACCTTTGAGAATGAGACATGGTATAGCAGTCTAGGGCCTCTCTTAATCTGTGAATAAGACATGGTAGTGCAGTCTACAACTTTTGAGAATGAGACATGTTATAGCAGTCTAGGGCCTCTCTTACCCTAAGAATGGGACATGATATAGCAGTCAAGGGCCTCTCTTACCCTGAGAATGGGACACGGTAGAGCAGTCTAGGGCCTTTTGTACCCTGAAAAAGAGACACGACAATGCTGTCTAGGGCCTTTCGTGTCCTAAAAAAGATACACTGCAGTGCTGTCTCAGGCCTCTCTTACCCTGAGAATGGGACATGGTAATGCAGTCTACAACTTCTGAGAATGAGACATGGTATAGCAGTCTAGGGCCTCTCTTACCCTGAGAATAAGACATGGTAGTGCAGTCTACAACCTTTGAGAACGAGACATGGTCGTGTAGTCTAGGGCCTCTGAGAGCAAGCCACAGCAGTGCAGTCTAAAGCCTCTTAACTTGAGAGTGAGACACTGTCCAGGGCCTTTTGTACACTGAAAAAGAGACACTGCAGTGCTGTCTAGGGCCTTTTGTATGCTGAAAAAGAGACACTGCAATGCAGTCTAGGGCCTTTCGTACCCTGAAAAAGAGACACTGCAGTGCTGTCTAGGGCCTTTCGTATGCTGAAAAAGAGACACTGCAATGCAGTCTTGGGCCTTTCGTACCCTGACAAAGAGACACTGCTGTGCTGTCTAGGGCCTTTCGTACCCTGACAAAGAGACACTGCAGTGCTGTCTAGGGCCTTTCGTACCCTGAAAAAGAGACACTGCAATGCAGTCTAGGGGCTTTCGTACCCTGAAAAAGAGACACTGCAGTGCTGTCTAGGGCCTTTCGTGAAGAAGAGGTGCCATTCTGTCAACTGTCAAACTATGCAAATCATGTTCAAATCTCACAGAAACAGTAACCAATGAGAAATCGTGTTAGATGCCTCTTTCTGGGAAGACAATTTAATTGATTGTCAAATCCCATCAGAGAAAGGGTGCTTGAACATGACCTGCATAGTTATTAGGAGCCTTGACCTTGACTGAATCAGAGCATACAAGCATGACTTGTAGTGATAGTTATTCACAAACAAGGAAAGTTGTAGTTCAGAGTAGTTTGTCTGATACAACCATGAATATCAAACTGACTTTAGTGTACCACTGATTGGATAATTTTCTGACAGAAAAACACTTACTAGCTGTGAATAATATACATACACATGAAAAATCTAATCTCTTCATTTAAGTGGGAAGGAATTCAAGGAGATTATGCAAATACAACATATAATTTTTTTTAATGAGAATTTTTAAACATAGGAAAAGGAAGTTGATCGAAATAAAAACGACTCAATTATTACAATAGCACAAAAGCCTTAAGACATTCAATGTCACTAGTCAGATAACAGTTGTGGTTTTATCCACTAAATTCCCAGTATTTCAGTAAAATGATGGCTGATTGTTTAGAAAATGGTGTCCCAGCCTGGACCAAATCAAATTCACCACGAAAAGTCATTATTATTGAGGATGTCATATTTATAGTGACATGCTTATACTAGTTTCATCAGGTTCAGGGTTTGTGTATCGTTAGGACACATTGGCCATAGTGAAACATTATTCAAGTTGACAATAAAACATTGGCATCTTGTTTCCATATTGTATCATTGCAAAATTTCGCCTAAGGGGAAGGAAGAGAGATTGAAGATGAAATGTAGAGATCACATTTACTAATGCTTTAATAACCATTGCATCCTTATACAAATCCACAAAAAAAAAAGAATGCTCACTTCATGATTTGCATTCTTGATACATGGTAACCTGTAAGCTGAACACTCCACTCCACTCCACTCAACTCAACATACCTTGCTTCTGCTCTTGCTGATGCATACTCGAACCATAGAACATTGGGAATGAGTGTGGAATCTCTCAACATAAGTCTTTCTGACAGCGGCCATGATACAACCACTGGAAATAACGGTGTCAGCACCAACTGATAAAAGACAATATACCCAGTAATGTAATTATTGTAACATGCTTTGATTCTGTAAAAGAAAATTTGTTTGCTGTCCTAAGACACTGAAAGTCTGTTTTTAGAGAAATTTTCTATTCTTGAATGCAACAAAATTCAAAAAAATATCTAGCAGTCTACAGTAATGTGTAATACTTTATTTTCACTTGGAATTTTCGCTATTTTCGCTGAAGGAATGATTCAGTGAAAATAAAATCCAGCGAATATACCTTTTTTCCTATCTTTTACATTCAACTCGCCAAAAATCAATGAAAATAAATTCCATATAACCCACATAAAAAAAAAAAAATTAATTCCAACGAAAATAAAGTATTTTACAGTATACTAAGATGAAGGTGATTATTTCATGTAAAGGATATCAATAGGCACAAATTTATAAGATTATACCATTCTAGTACATTTATTTTCTGTAAATCCAAATACCGGTAGATGTACAACCTTTTGTGTTTATATAGATTGTAAACCGCTACGGTTGTATTCCAATGCGGAGTTTAAAAGTACATTTGAAACCAAGATAATATGTAATTTGTAAAACAGACCTTGCACCTTTGCTAAGGCTTAGCAGATTTAGTTAAAGTGCACTATCTGCAGTTGACAGTGAGATATATTTCTTTTCCAAATATTGAACAGATTAGGGACGACGTCAAAAGATCGATGTCGGATAAAAAAACTTATTTCCTTTAGTTTGGGGGTGGGGTTTTTGACCTCAAAAAGTTTCCATCCTACAAAAACGATTTTATTTTTTAATGAAGTCAAAAAAATCTTGGAGTATTTGTAGTTCGTTTTTTTTCTATCCAATCATGGACAGAAATAACCGAAAAGGGAAAAAAAAACACAGAAAAATGGGTTGGTTCGGGTGTAAATCTGTGCGTCAAATGAGGTGCATTTGTAAAATCTTGTTACACCCACCCGACAACCAACTGCTATGCAATACTACTGTCCGATTATCAATTTGTATTTAATGGTGAATGTAGTCTGACGCCATGACCAATATTTATCAATAGACCTTTTGCGCAATACACCGGAAGACATTTCTGAGCATGCGCAGTGGTACGCAAGTCCCCCGGTTGACCCAGTTGAGAGGCGGAAGTAAACAAGACCGATGTTTATATTCAGTACGCTATGGCTAACGTTCAAGACATCTCGTCTATCGACATTCTAAGGAAAAAAACGGTGAAACAGTTAAAGGAACTACTAAAATCCAATGGTCTTAAAGTTGGTGCCAACAAAAACTAGCTTTTAGCTAGAGCAGTAGCCGTATACTCTATCGACGAGTCGCACACCGATTCTATCGCAGACGACAACGCAAGGCTTCGAGTACAACGTCACGAGACCATCGAAAAGAAAATGAATATGCCTGGTGTCATGAATTCTTATTATTTATTCTTACATTAATTTGCATAAGTGGTTTTACGAGGTGCGCCCTCTGTGGCAGGAGGAAAACACTCAGGCGGTGGCTAAGATGGCGGAGTAGCTAGCGAGGACTGATGGTGAGTGATCTGTCGTGCTGGTTTTGTTATAGCGTTCTGTGACATATGGGGGCTCGTCCGGGAGCTTGTTTTCTTGTGTTATAGGGATCCTGTGGTATTTTATTTATGTTTCTTGAATTTCAAGTGCTGAAGTTAAGCCAGAAAATTTTGAGAAATTCGCGAACATGTGCTTGCCCCCCCCCCCCCCCCCCCGG